ACTGGCGTCATTTTCATCTCGTCGGCACCTCTCCATTCTTCTTGCTTGAAATGGCGTCTCCTATTCGACCTCCGCTATTTCTCCATTCACCTGGCGACCCGCCACTTCCGTGGGCGGACTGGAAATTGGTGTTTCAGGCCTATGCAGACGTGGTCGGGGAGGACGCCAGCAAGCCCGAGCGTCGCAGGGCCCTGCTGCTCAACGCGTTGGGCCCTGCCGGGTTAAAGCTCTTCTATACTTTGGAAGCCACCAACGCGTCGCCGACGCCAGCGTCGAGCGATGCCTTCAAGAATGCTGTTGCTCTTTTCGATGAGCATTTTAAAGATGTTTCGTGCGATTATCTCGCACGCGTGAAATTCCAAGAAAGGCGACAAATGCCTGGCGAGCCAGTCGCCGAGTTCATTACTTCTCTTCGAACGCTCGCCGCGTTGTGCGGCTTCGGCGCGCTCGAGGACGATATGATCCGCCATCAGCTTTTCACCGGGGTAGCCTCGCAAAACGTCCACTGCCGCATGCTTCAAAAGGGCTCCTCGATTTCATTATCCGAAGCCGTCTCGATTGCACGAGAGGAGGAGCTTATTCGCTCCCAGTTGGAGCGATTCGCTCCGCATTCAGTGCAGCAACTTTCTGCTGCGGGGGGCCAAGGCGGCGGCTCTTCGTTTCCCGGGACACGTCAACATGGGGGCCCTTCATCATTGTCTCGGCGCGGCGGCCAACATGGCAGCTCCTCTGCGTCACGGGGGCGAGGAAGCTGGCAATATGGTGACACCATTCCGCCAAATTCTGGTTTTCAGGAACAGCACCGAGCTCCTAACTCGCGTTCGCAATTTTCTTCTCCAAGCGCAACCGCGCATTGCTTTCGTTGTGGATCGGCTCGGCATTTAGCCAATTTTGCGCAGTGTCCCGCGAGAAACCTCACTTGTCTTGCGTGCGGAAAAATCGGACATTTTCAGTCCGTATGCAATTCCCGTCCAGCAAATCTTCCGGAACCAGTTTCTTCGTCCGCTCCTTCGAGCACTGCACAAACCAATACGGTCACTGTTTTAAATGGGGGTGGCCTCCACACTACGTCCGAGCCCAGCATCGTAGTTTCAGTGGGCCATGTGCCCTTGTCATTTCTCATGGACACTGGTGCCTCAGTCTCTTTAATCAGTGCCACTGACTTTCATAGTCATTTTTCCAACATTCGGCTTTTGCCTTCACACGTCGTTCTACAAACATATTCCAAGGGAACAATTGATAATTTAGGTCATTTTACAGCTCAGGTCTCCTATCGCAGTCGCACTGCTTCCATTACTTTTTATGTAACTGCCAATGGCAGCTCGCTTTTGGGACGTGATGCCATCAGGGCTTTGTCCATCAACATCGTCAGTGCGTCTATGACGTGTGCTAAAGTTGACGTCCAAGATGATCATCCGGCCAACGCGCTTTCTGAATTCCACCACCTGTTCACCCGTGAACTAAGTTGTGTGCGCGGTTTTGTGCATAAAGTGATGCGTCGACCAGGTGTGTGCCCTGTGCGTGCCAAGCTGCGTCGCATTCCTCTTCTTCTCCGTGAGCAAGTCTCTGCGGAACTGTCTCGCCTTCAAGCCAGCGGAATCATCGAGCCTGTCTCTGCTTCCGACTGGGTTTCTCCACTGGTCGTCGTCAAAAAAAAAGATAGATCCCTTCGACTATGCGTCGACTTACGAGAACCGAACAGGGCGATCGTCGTAGACGGGTTTCCACTTCCTCACATTGAAGAACTGCTTCATCAGCTCTCCGGAGCGGTATGTTTTTCCAAGCTGGACCTCGCGTCCGCTTATCACCAAGTTGAACTTTCTGAGTGCAGTAGAGACTTGACTACATTTGTATCGCACGAAGGCTTGTTTCAGTTTCGCCGCGTGTGTTTCGGGCTTGCATCTGCCCATGCAGTGTTTCAGAAAATGATGTCAATTATTCTTAAGGGTTGTAATGGCGCCCTTTGTTACTTGGATGACATTTTGGTGTGGGGACGTACTCGCGAAGAGCACGATGCTAACTTGCATACTGTTCTCAACCGCATCAGTGAATGTGATATGAAACTTAATAAGTGCATTTTTTCTGTGAATGAGTTACAATTTCTAGGACATAATGTCAGTTCCCGCGGCTTGACACCTGTTGAATCTAAAGTTAAGGCCATTGTCAATGCCCCATGGCCTACTGATGCCAAAACCTTGCAATCTTTTTTAGGTCTTGTTGATTATTATGCCAAGTTTGTTCCTCACTATGCTGATGTTGTTGAACCACTGCGTACTCTACTTCGTCAAGCACAGCCTTTTAACTGGTCAGCTGAAGCTGAGCAGAGCTTGATTCGAGTTAAGTCAATACTGGCCTCAAAGCCAGCTGTTAGTATTTTCAATGAGAAGCTTCCCATCGTCATCACGACGGATGCGTCCGATGTTCCACTGGGAGCAGTGTTTCAACAACTCAGAGATGATCAGCTGATCACTATCACTTCTGCATCTCGTACATTGACCCCTGCTGAACGCAGATATTCAGTAGGAGAGCGTGAAGCTCTCGCGTGTCTTTTTGCCTGTGAGAAATGGCATGTTTACTTGTGGGGCCGGCACTTCACATTACGTACAGATCACCAAGCACCAGTTGCTCTTCTTTCTACAGGATCCGAAGGCCGCCGCCCCATTCGCATTTCCAAATGGTGTGCCAAACTCATGTATTATAATTTCAGTGTTCAATATTGCAAAGGTTCTAATAACGTGGTTGCTGATGCACTGTCACGCCTTTCTCTTCAGATACCGGTTACTGAAGAGCGGAATGAGGAAGTTGTTTCATTAGTTACTTCCTGCATTACTAAAGCTGAGCTTCAGGCAGCTACAGCTGCAGATTCCACTTTGTCTCAAGTTCTCAAATATTTACGTGAAGGATGGTTTTCCAAACGTGCTCTTGCTTCTGAATTCTTGCCTTACTCCACAGTCCGACAGGAACTGCCTTGTGTCGAGGACTTGCTTTTCCGCGATGAACGCGTGATTGCCCCTGCTTCTTTCCGTAACAAGCTAATACAGCTTGCGCATGAGGCCCACCCAGGCATTGTCCGAACCAAACAGAATCTCCGAGACAGGTACTGGTGGCCAGCCTTAGACAAGCAGGTCGAGCATGCAGTTCACAACTGCCATATATGTCAGGCAGCTGACAAGTCTGCCAAACGTGCATTTTCTCCGTTGCAGCCAGTCCAGTGGCCTGATCGGCCTTGGCAGAAACTCGGCATGGACATCATCGGTCCTTTGCATAATGTTCCGCAAAATGCCCGGTTCATTGTTTCTCTCATCGACTACCATTCCAAATGGCCAGAGCTTTGTTTCACACATACGGTTACTTCTGAGGTCATCATTGAATTTCTGTCTTCAATTTTCAGCCGGGAAGGTTTTCCTGATGCCATAGTTACGGACAATGGTCCACAGTTTCAGTCCCAACATTTCGAGGCTTTTCTTTCACAACGAGGAATTCAGCACTTGAGGTCATCAGTTTTCTATCCCCAATCAAATGGGCAAATCGAGCGCTTTAATCGCGTTCTGAAGGAACATATCCAGATCGCCCAATTAGAGCACCGTCCCCTCAAGCAAGTCTTGACTGAATGTTTAGCTTCGTACAGGTTCACACCACAAGGCACCACTGGAGTGTCTCCTGCTCAACTTCTCCACGGTAGGCAACCGCGAATTGCTCTCGACATAGTCTCTTTGCCTCGTAACATAGCAGTGTCTTCTCCTGATCAAATCCGTACCAGAGTTTTTTCTCGTCAACAAGCAATGAAAAAGTATGTCGACACCCGTCGAGGTGCAAAGCAGTCCAAAGTTCGCACTGGCGATCTAGTCAAGGTTCGTGTGCCAGGCAAGCGCCCCAAGTATCGGGGTCCTTACAAAGTCTTGGGCCAGGTTAGCCCCACTTCTTTTCGCTTAAGTGATGGTAACATCTGGAATGCTTCGCGCCTTGTTATTTTTCATACGGATTCGCCTTCAACACCTAAAAATTTTTCCCATCACGTTCTGCCCGCCTTTCAACTATCCATCAGATTATTACATGTGGCCTCCATGTACAGGCATTTCTTCAAGGGGGGAGGAGTTACCAGTCGGTGTCGCTGGTTCAAGTACACCAAGTCATACGCTTCACTTCGAACCTTCGAATTCGGCGGAGACCGTTGAACCGGACTCCGGTCCGCAAAATTCTTCCGAAGCTCATGCTGCGAGCTCTGATGAGACCGCAAATTTTAACGCTCGTTCAGAGCCTTCACAATCTTCCACTGCTCTTGATGTGTCACATCAGAGCAGAAGTGGCCAAGGTGCAGAGACACCTGATTCTACACCCAAAAGGGCCTGCCCTAAGCGGAAGCGGCAGAAGCCGCGTCGGTTCGAAGACTACGTGATGTAGAACTCTTGTTCCGAACAGTTGTGTACATTTTTTCTTGCTTGTCAGTGCATTTTCAGGACTTGTAGTGTGTGAGTTCGGTGTGCTGTGCTCTGAATTTTCATGTGTTCTAATGTACATACCTTGTAAAATATGTTGGTATCGAGCATGTATAAATATAAACAGTGTATAGGTGTGCTTTTTTTCGAGGAGGGGATGATTGTTGTGTTCTGCGTTTTCGGTTTCGGTTTTGGATTGACATGTGAGGATGCCAGGGGGCGCCGCTCTGGCATCTAGAATTTCAAGGCGACTGTAAAATAAAGACAGTGTGTGTGTTGGGTAACCGTGGAGTGCGGTTGTTGTTCTTTCCTTCGGCGTTTCGCGCCAACCCGCGTGTTCGGGCTGGTCGGCGTCCCCGCCGGCCGCGTATGTCTCCGTCGGCAGTCTTCTTCTTCTGCTTCGTCGGGACCAGCCAGCTCCCAACACAGCAATACCCAAGCTGAAGCAGCTGAAGTGACCATGTGGATCCCGGTGCCAAATATTTTTCTGCATGCGAGTTGGCTTTATAAGGGTAAAAAATACTAACCTGAAGAAAGAGCAGATGTAAGCGTTTCAACAGCATCTCGACACCGGAAACCAATGGCTTTATCTGCAGCACACGTTTAAGTAGTCCTTCGCTCCACGTTGAGTGCCCTCGGTGACTGGTAGCAATAAACGCCCGCACTCTAACCACAGAAGATTTATCCAAAAATAGCCACCACCGCCTGTCAGCAATTAGAGCAGGGCACTGTTCTCCGAGGAAGTTGCTGTTTTAGGTAGTTATGCAAGGGTGTGTGACCATCTGTAGCTGCTGCTGACGCACCGTCAAATCGTGCAGAGATTTCCACGTAGTCGCTTCGATTTTCCCACCTGGACATGCGCTTTGAGTCATGACGCATATTTTCAACTTTCTTTATAATGCACCCAGTGTCGAAGGCTCATATGACAATCTGCAACAGTTGAACACAGAGCAGATTTAAGCATTTCGACCGCAAATTACTTTCCACACCGATAAAGCTAGTCAAGCTGAAGCTTTTGCACAATTTTTACAGTAGTAACACGGAGATCCATAGAAACATATATACAAAACAAGCTCATTATCATTCAAAGAGATACAACAATTCAAGAAATTTAAGGCCCTAATAATGTTGTATCAAGGTTTTAAGTTTTCATTCTTTCATTGAACAATTGAAGAATTGAATCTTCTTCCCAATGATATAGCACGCGAACCAAACTCTTCTGCCATAGAAAACTTCTTTTGAATTCATCTAAATATTACATGAAATGTCAGCACAATGGACTTTCTTAAGCTAGCTTTATCTTGAACCTAAGTTTTATTAATATTGTCTTGTATCTTTTATCATGATATCTTTACATACAGTGTATAGTTTTGATATTATTGATTTGAGATATTTAATTATAATATTATATGACAAATTTTCCTCAACGATAATGCCCAACTTGGGTACTGTAGGTATATCCAATAAGCATGTAATAAACACTATGGGTTAGCATTATTCTGTGCAAGAATCTTAAAGATACCGAGTCATGATAACAGGTTCATTCCACATATCGAGAATCAAGACATTTCTGTAAATGGATATTAGAGGTACAAAAGCTTGTACTGTAGTATGCTCACTTTACAGCATTCCCACCTAGACTTCCGATGTGTCACAGCACATTGCTAAAAACAAAGATGGAAACTGTTGGCACAGCACAAGCCTTCTCTGTCCAGGGTCCACATAGTCTCTGCTGGTGAAATGAACAGAGCACAGCCGTAGCAGCTGTAGATCTGACGAGGTGGTAAATGAGCCAGGTTCTCCCTTCTCCCATACAAGAGCCAAGCACAACATCTGGAACATCAACGTGTGCATGTACAGTATTTGGGTTAGAATTGATTTATTATCATTTTCAGGTGCAGATAAGATAGTATTCAGTGACAGATGGTATCTCCATTTGAAATAAGTGTTATCTGATACAATTCAACTCTTTCTTCCTGAATTTGATTTTTGTGACAACATAAATCCTGAAAGCAAACTTTAAATAAAAAATCTGTAATTATTAAGAGATGTGGTTACATGTTTCTATTTGTGCAATAGTAATGTTTGGTGGCAACATTTTTTCCTAATCCAAAATATACTTTTCCAGACAATAGCAGCCATCCCACACCAAAAGATTTTTTACACTCTCCTATAAATATTTAATAAAAAACCATAACACAAAACCATTAATAAATTACTAGCAGATTAAAGCCTACATTGTTAAATAATTTATGAACTTTTAGATGTAACTGCATTCTTGGGTAAATCGTAAGTATACTTAAAGTTAAGACTGAAAGGATAAAATTGAAGTATACATTAAAGGTTATAAGCACTGTATTATTACACATATTATTATTATTAGAAAAGCATAAATTCCTTAGTCTGTATATTTTTTGCTACAAGTACCTCTGCAATATCCCATGGATTCATGTGAGACCAGACGAAAAAAAAAATCGAAACTGATTTATTTAAATAGCATCAATATAAACTCACAAGTGTAGTATTTATGTAGTGACTACTTAATTTACATAGTACTAGCAACACATGCTATGAATGTATATAGACCCTCCCTTAAAGCCAAAAGCATATGGGAGCTTCATTAAGTTGTGAACATAGATAGATTGATAAAATATTAATAGTAATGTAATATTAACAATAATATTAATAACGCATGCTACGAAAAACAACTCAACACAGACAATTAAAGGCAATAAAAAGAGTGCGGAGAAGCTTACACTGCTCTATTAGTTACTGTATATGTTGCCACAAATATATTTGTGGCATCTCGTGTATTGAGCCAGAACGCAGCATCGAAATGCAATTCACGATCGAAATACATAAAATGAAAAACACAAGTATAAACAATCGTGTGTAGCAAATGTAGTCATTGGATTAATTTTGAGAAGCTCTGCCTTGCATGTCATGTAAAATTCAAGCCGCAAAGCAGACAATCAGTATGTACTACTATATAATCATGCACGTGTATGCTCAATTCATTTACACACCTACTAAGGCAACAACATTCTCATATGCCGTGCAAGCGTAGAAAAACAAAACGAGCCCCGCCGCAATGGTCTAGTGGCTAAGGTACTCGGCTCCTGACCCGCAGGTTGCGGGATCGAATCCCGGCTGTAGCGGCTGCATTTTCGATGGTGGCGAAATGCTGTAGGCCCGTGTGCTCAGATTTGGGTGCACGTTAAAGAACCCCAGGCGGTCAAAATTTTCTGAGCCCTCCACTACGGTGTCTCTCATAATCATATGGTGGTTTGGGGGCGTTAACCCCCACATATGCAGGACCCCCACGTTGCAGGAGTTCCACAGGGAAGCATTTTGGGACCTTTCCTCTTCAATATTTACATTAATGATATCGTGAACATCTCCTCTAACGTAAAATTTATAATATATGCAGATGATACGAATATATTTTTAACAGAAAAATCAGTGAACGAATTAATAACACATGCAAATCTACTGCTGATTAGATTATAAAAATGGACAAGAGAAAACGGTCTAAAAATAAATGTTGCAAAGAATAAGGCTATGGTATTTCATGCTAAAAATAAAGCGGTAATTGTAAAACAAACGATCTTTTTAAATTCCACCCCTGTCGAGATAGTCCCTTCTCTTAAAATATTAGGAATAATACTTCAAGAAACATTATCATGGCATCACCACATACACTTCTTAGCTACGAAGGTCTCTCAGGTAGTCGGCCTTGTGTACCGAAACAAGCACTTGCTTCCTCGGAATATTTTGTTGTTAATTTACAATACCTTATTTTTATCAAGAATCAATTACTGCCATCTAGTTTGGGCTCTAACTTCCAAAGAAAACATAAACAAACTTCATATGTTGCAAAAAAGGTTTGTACGGGTGGTAGAGAACGTGCCACGTACTTATCATACTCGTCCCTTATTTGAAAAATACAACCTAATGCCAGTAATAAAAATGTATGATTTTCTTCTGTCCAAGAAATATAAGCAAGACATAAAAAACTCTAACCCGTTTCTAAAGCAGTTGGCAGATTTAACACTCAACCAGCCTAAGTATAATACCCGGAAAAATGAAGTGTGGACTGTTCGAACCTTTAGAACCACATACGGTCTTCAATCGTTGGGAAATAAACTTCCAAGGTTACTAAATGAACTTAGGGATAAAGAAATTGACTTAGAAAAAATCACCTTTAAACAACTGCGGAATCATTTCCTCCAGATGTCATGATCACTCGTTTCTGTTACTTGTAATTTTCCAAAGAATGTATTTTTGTATTTTGTTTTTGTTGACGTGTATTTTGTATACTGCTTTTGTGTTTTTTTTTCACAATATGTTTTTTGGTGTCTTGTTTGTTTTTTCTGTTTTAGGAAATGAGTATGCATTTGTGGTGTTGCCAAAGCAATAAATTAGGCATATTTCTTTAATGATGCTTTTTCTGTGTTTTGCAAGGCAAATGCGCCTGTATTTCACATTGCGAAATTATTTGTTTATAGCATTATATGTACCAATATGTTACACCTGTACAGTGTCGATTGCTCATTTTTGTCGTATACATGTTTGTATGCTTCGCTCGGATGTATTACGCAAATGCTTCCTTTTTTTAAGGCAAATACGCCAACATTTTTTGCATCTTTTGAAATAGATTTTTTGTCGTTGTTGTTTAAGCATTAGACGTTTCGTTTTATCACACATGTACAGTGATGATTTCTTTCTTGTCATAGACCTGTTTATTTTACGCGTATGATCCCGAATGTTTTTTATGAAAGTGTTACCGCTGCTGCGATGTGTTCGGGGAGGGGGAAGGGGGGCCTGCGGCCTTGTCAAGCTGGCATCACGCCAGCTTTTTCTGCAGGTCTCCTGCATCATGTATCCTTGATGCGAAATAAAGTCATTATTATTATTATTATTATTATTATTATTATCATATCAAAAACAAAATGAGCAACATGCAGATCGTGCTTTGGTTCACCGAAATCCGAAAGAATTTTATGCCAGTGAGGCATAAAAAATTTCGACACCAATTAGCACAGAATGATTTGCGATGACGGCGCAAATACATTCATGCATCTGTTTCACTGAAGCTTGCAAGGATTTCACCGAAACAAACTTTACAGTGGTAAACGCAGCCTTTGGAACACCATAGGCCCTAGCATACATGGGCACGTAACAAGAAATGCCCTTTTTTCGCCTATAGAGATAGAATAAATAATAAAGGAAGCAATTCCCTTCATTTATGCTCGTCGGTAGTACAACTCCAAAACATATTAGGATCGCTGCAATCACAGGACTGAAAAACCATGGAGTTACATCCTTCTGGCATGCCCTTTAGAGGCACGCACGGATCGCAACCCACAAGGCGACAACCTTTAGAGAATGCCTTACTCGCCATCCCTGTACGAGTGACAAAAACACACTGAAGTAGCTGAGCTCTGAGGATCGCCAATGGTGTCTGGTGTACATAAATGGTTCGCTGCTAGCATGCTGCACTATGACCAATTGCTCCATGACCAATTGCTTTCGCACCTTGCACTGCAGAGCGACAGGTCACAGGTTTGGCACCCGGCTATGGAACTATTTCTTCTCATTTTTTTTGTTGCTATCTGTTAGTATATATTTTACATCATATCCATGATTTAAATACAGCAGCAGAGCCATAGTGGACAACGGAATAGAACACTTTCATGTTAAAAAACAAAAAACAAAAATAGCATCAGGGAACAAACAACAAAAATAAACGTAGTGAACCCCTGTCTATCAGTCACATTCCCTCAGTGCACCTTTGGAAAGGGAGACCCAAGTTTAGTTTGACTTGGCTCATATTGTGTCGAGCGCAGCTGCACCATGATGTACTGTGATGTCGCTTTAAAACAGAGTTGTTCAATCGGCAGAGTTGTGAAACTCCCCATAGGCCCCATGTATCAAAATTTGGATGCACCTTGGTCAAAATTGTGTCGGGTGTGCTGATGGTCACACCAACTAATAAGTCAGCTTCATAGATTGACATAATAGGGAGGGAGGGGGTGCTGCGACAAACCTTCCCCTAGTGCACCTTGATGTGCTCCTATGGCAGAGGGTCAAGAGACTGCCTTTGTGGGGCCATACTGGTTCAAACGGTGCCATTTGCTGGCATTGCCTGCCATGCAGCAATGAATTTCTTTCAGTGAAATGCACGGTAACTTGGCCCAGCTTACTAATTCTGACACACACAACGGCTTGCACACATAACGTTAGTGACCAATAGGTCAGGCACTAATTATTGAAAGCGAGACAAGTTATCACAAACCGAAGGCACATTTTGGGCATATCTATTAGTCAATCTGCCTATCTAGCAGCACAGGTATTTGCGCTCTTGCGGCCAATTGATTAACTCAACGTATACTAAAATGTGAATCAAAATCAAATCAAATCGAGTTTTATTATTTCATATTAAGATGTATAAAAAAATAATATACAGAAGGAGGTCCCGTAGTGTACACTGAAATGAGACCTCCTATGAAATGTAAACACAAGTATTTGGTTAGCAACAACAGAGCGAAACTAAGAGAATACAAGGTTTAAAAAATTAATTACAGATACATATAAATGATGACGCTCTCATCAACTATAAGCAGTCAGAAAAATAAATTATAAAATACATTTATATACTTCTATATAAATAGCATGACATAAAAAAACAACAATGAGAGGCTGAAAAGAGAATGACATGGCGAGGGAGAAACCGGTTAGGCAGAAGAGTGAGTGTCGCATAACAAAAAATTTTTTCAATTCATGGCAAAATTTACGTGGTTTTTGAATTTTCATTAGAAATGGCATTGTGT